TGATGCATATTTATAGGTGCAAACATGCAGAATTACTATAATCTAACTAGGAATGCAATACATCTGAGCACAATATGACAGGCTGTGAAGAAGTGACCTGTGTACTCACTTTGCTGCCCAGGTGGCAATTATCATCAAGGCCCCAGCTTTCTCTTTTTATGAATGTGTTATCTTTAAACCAGAATTGGCCTGAACAGCCCACCAAACAGATGAGGACTGTCCTCTGAAAGCCCTTCAGGCAAAAGGTGATCTTCTGTGAAATCAAAAGCATGACACCCTACTCATAACCCCTTGCTATAGAGAGAAATATCCCCAAATTCCAATACTTTGCCTGCTGCAAACATGCTATTATAAGGGATTGACCTCATTTCCCACTTAGTGCTATATAACTGTTTGGGATACATATTAGAACAGAGAATACCTGTGTTATTAAGAAATAACCCTACTTTTGTTTTCTCCTTTGCAAAATGACTCTTTTGTAGAAATCTATGTATATCCAAGATATCTTCAGAAACAAACTCTGAATACTGTATGTTTTAATTTTTTTAACAATTCTAATGCTTCCTAGCATTGCTCTTCCACTGTACACCAGAAGCTTCATACTTTAGGCTGACCCATTTTCTGGTTGGTTGGTTGGTTGGTTGGTTGGTTGGTTGGTTGGTTGGTTGGTTGGTTGGTTGGTTTGGTGAGTGCATCCCACCATCCTTTATCGGCATAGTGGGTACAACATACGTAAGCAGGCAATGTTGTTCCCTCCCCTTTCCCAACCCCACAGGGTTGTCATATACAGTTTGTCAGACTGTGAGCTGCCCCGCCACCCTCCCTGATGAGAGGGTGAGTCCTTGCAGAAGAAGGAGTTTTGTTAAAGAGAGAAAACAATTTGCACCAACATTCTTTTACAGATTCAGGGCTGGTTTGGCCCTGAATAAAAATAAGCTTTGGCCAACTCAGGCCCCGACAGCCAGCATGCACATGGTCCTTTGCCAACCCTTCTGGGCTGATAACAGAAAAGTCCTTAGCAGGACTGGGCCCCTCTGACCCTGGTTCAACACAGTTCTTGTCAGATCCAGGCTCTGCTAAGCCAGGAACCTAAGAAATCCTTTTGGACACAGGCCTTTCTGGACAATAACAGACAGATTCAAGAAAGAGTTCCAGCTCCTACAATGAGCTACAAACCCTAATCCATGCTGTAGTGTAGGCCAACACAGTTTCATGGGCGCCAGAGAGTTACTTCACTCCCCAAAGTCCATAAGTACACAGCTTGTGTGGGAGGTCTCTTGAGGAAAATTGCTAGAGACTTGTCAGGCAGGAGACATGCTTTCTTTCTGCTGCCACACCCCTAGTCCTTGGGCTCTGCCCAAGGGAACATGTGTGTGCACCCCCTCCTGAGCGGCCTGACCAGAGTTCAGGCAGAAACTGCCATGTGAGATGGCTGGGCGTGGAGGCAGGAATCAGATTGGGTTGGCTGGCTGGGGAATCCAGGGCTCAAGATGGGCAGGAAGGAAAACAGCAGTAGTATAAGGAGCCGCTTGCTTGTGTTGTCTTCAGCAGCAGTTGTCACCTCTTTAGCTTTCCAGATGCCTTGGCTCTTTGAGTTTCACCACACCTTCTTCAGGTGACAGAGCCAGCTCCCCTGGGGTGGATCGTTACAGAATTCTTTTCCCTCCAACACTGCCAGCCAACCCTTTGCATCTTCCCACTGATCCTCCCACTCTTAATCTTCTGATTCACCATCAGAAGACTCTGATTCACTATTTATCTCTAGCTTAGTCATCCCCACAGCTACGTCTGTAAGGGAGGCATCAGCGTTCTCCCCTGCCTCACCCCAGGGCCCAGGTGTAGCGTACAGAAAAATGTCTTGGCCTGCTGTGCCCAGTGAGGTGGTCTTCCCACTATACTGGCCAGCCACAGTTGGGGCAGGCTCACAGAGACATTCTCCAATGGATGGTTCTCAGCACCATTTGAGTACTTTGATACTTTGTGAAACACACACATACACCACCACCCCTATTTTTAAGTGCACGTAGCACAAAGCATGTAGATTTCAGTGTAAATTCCAGTTAGGGTTGTATGAGTACTGACCAATCTCACTTATATCCACATATTTGCTGTACAAAGTGAGCCCAACCCAACCTGAGTGGATTTGGAGTTTGCCTGGATTAAATTTGTCTCAGGGTTCTGGACATATTTTAAATATTTGTACATTTCTGGATTGGGAGACCAAAAAACCCCACTATAAATACAGAAAATAAAGGGTTGTGGTTTAGAATGGGGGGTGCTGTGCAATGCCATCAACTTTCGGAATGTGGGTCACCCTCAGTAGGTAGCCAAATTTCCCACCAGCTTCCTTCCTTCCTGTCCTTTAAGGAGTTTGCTCAGGGAAAATATTGGTCGAAGTGTGGAAAATGTCCCCTCAGTTTCTCCAGTATGCAACCCAGCTTGTATAAATGTGCCTACTCAATGCCTAGCTCAAATTAGAGCACTGCAAATCTACCGAGAAAACACTGGAAAGGGTTGAATAAATTAGAATTGACTTGAGAGGACATTTGATGATGATGATGATGATGATGATGATGATGATGATGATGATGATGATGATGATGATGATGATGATGATGATGATGATGATGATGATCTATCTTCTCTGGAATCCACACAGGCACCCAACCACAGAAAGGGGGGGGAGTCCTTTAGCCTCTGTTATACATGAGGTGCTATCCCATACCACAGAGAGCAACAGCAGGCAAGCTGGAATCCACACAGGCACCCAACCAGAGAAGGGGGGGAGTCCTTTAGCCTCTGTTGTACATGAGGGGCTGCCCCATACCACAGAGAGCAACAGCAGGCAAGCTGGATCAGGCAGAACTCTCTTTTGTGGCACTCTTGCAGTACACAGAATTGTACAAGTAATGAGATGAATGCTAGAATACATGTGTTGGGGAGAGGAAGATGTCCTCTGGTGGACCCAGCCTGCCATCTGGCTTGCCAGGTGTGGGCACTTGCTATACACCTCAAATCAGAGCCCTGCATATTTGGCACCCACCCATTGTAGAATGTCAACAAGCACCCATATGAAGGGGGGGAGGAATGCTTCTGCCAAAGAGAGAGAGAGAGAGAGAGAGGGCATAAACAATAAGGGTATTTGGCACCCACCCATTGTAGAATGTCAACAAGCACCCATATGAAGAGGGGGGGAATGCTTCTGCCAAAGAGAGAGAGAGGCCAGCAGCAGGCATAAACAATAAGGGAAAAAAGTAGAAAATGGGGGAGATAAAAATATAATCCCTAGTTTTACATTGACTTATCCAATCCAAATCAACACAATATGTTATCCTTCCCTCATCCACAAAACACACTCACTGCTAAGTGTAATGAAGACTCAGTGTGACCACCTAAAAGAAAAAAGCAAGAACATTCTAGAACATGACTCCTCAATAAGTGATGTACCTCTTTCCTCCTGCCATGTCTGGATGTGAAACTGCCTTTTGAGTTCTCTGGTCACTTTAACAATCAGGCTAGGAAGTTCGCTTGCTTGTTTTTCTAGTCTCAGATAAGTTTCTCGTTTTTCTCTCCCTTGTCAGTTTCACAATAAGACTAGAAAGCTGAGAAATTTATTTATATCTTCTAGAAACATATTAAGGGACTCCTTTGGTTCAGTAGCAGAAATCCTGGTCTTTGGTTAAGATTCCTAAAGAGCTAACAGACAAATGAGCCAAACTAGATACGGCATGTTTCTGTGAGTGGTGACAGGGTGCAATTCAATGCACATGGAGAGCAGAGGAAGTGTTCAGTCTGCTGATGTCCTGAAGTGCCTTATGTATTAAACCATTTCATGATATTGGAAATGCAAGTCTGGACCAAATAGGACCAAACAGAGTTGTGACAGCATCAACTTTCACTAAAAAGAAGATTCTGTTAAATCTCACAAATAGGAATTCTGCCAGTCTCTGGACACAAGCTGATATAAGTAACTGAAACCCGTAGTACAAGTATAATTAAAATATATATTTATTGATTATAAAATTTGGAAATATGCACAGTAATCCATGTTTATTTTGGCAAATTATATCTAGCAGCTTGTTCATATATTCATTGAGACTGGCAGTTTGGAAAAATCTTTATTGGAAAGATAACAGCCAACAGGATGCCTTTAGAGATAGCACTTCCTTCAGCTCCTCAGGTGCTGACAAAGGACGAAAAGCATATAATGCATGAACATTGATTATACTTCTGATTCACATTGGCCTTCCTGGTAGTTTAAATCCTGTAGCAGAGCATAGGGGCTGGCAGCTAGTAGATCGAGATCTACTGGTACATATCTCATGATTTTCAGTTCACTGTCGGCTTCTCATTCTTTAGCAATAGCAACAACGGTTAACAATTCTTCAGCAATCTAAATTAAGTTATAGACATGGAAAAATACTTGGCAGGAGTAGAAACCAACTTTTATGTTACTAGACTTCACCGTGTGCTGAGTTCTAGAATGGAAAACCTATGCCCTGGCTGAGCCTGCACTCAGAGGTACAGTACCTGTATTCCTTAATTTGAGTATTATTTTGCACTTAGCTTGAGTAGGTGTAGCTTAGTTGTCCAACTGACAAATGTATTCAGCTGAAACACTCTAGTGGATGTTTAGGATGACTTTACCTTTAGACTCCACCACAAGCTGATGGTACTGTATCTACTAACTGCTCCTCCAGAATCAATTCCTTAAAATGAATTAGAAGGAAAACTTGTATCATAATGAAATAAGGTGGTACTGGGCTATAGAAGACTTGGAGTATATCTACTCTCTAGAGTTTCATCAGCTTGACACAATTGCTTTGCCTTCATCCTATGGAATGCTAGGGTGGATAAGATACTTCTCTACTGTAGTTCAGGTGAAGGCATTAAAGCAATTCAAATCCCAGGACTCAGTAGGAGGAACTTTAATGGTTAAGATGGTATCAAGCCAATATAACTTGTAGCGTAAATACAGTCCTGGAAGTAGTCTCATGAGATATTAGTAGCAATTTAATAAAAGCTGCTGAGACAGAAGAACAAAGATCGGTGAAAAAGGAGCCAAGAAATGATCCCATAACAAGTGTTTTGGTGGAACCCCTTTTGCATCAACATGTAAGAAAGAACCCAGTGGGCAGTTATTTTCTGCCCAGCAGCATTGTGTGGTTAATTGCAGACCTTAACTCACAATAAAAAGAAAGCAAAAAAAATGTAATGTGAAGAAGAGTGCCCTTGGCTATAGTCAGCGCTTTGTAACAGAGTGATGAAATCCATGCACCAAAAAGAAAAATTACATACAAAACTGGTCTCATCATCATGTGTGGTGTTATGGAGGCTTTGAAAGGGAAAAATGTCAGATGTGAGAGATGCTCAGGGAGAAAGATGCTACATGCAGGTGGTAAGAACATGTATATCATTTGCGCTGTGGTGTACGGTTGCGTTTTCACACTCCAATTCAACTTTGTTTTCATAGACATGGTGCCCCTCTTCACATCTGGAAAATTAAGGGACAAAAAGTATTGTTTGTGTTATTTAGTATGTAATATTCCATCTAGGGTAGCTTGATCCTACAGAGGGCAGGCCTCTAGGAGAGCCACATTGGATTAGATGAAAACCCCACCATCTTTCCACATTATCCCACAAAATGCTCTATTGGAAGCTCACAAGCAAGATCAAGACAATGGCCCTTCCTTGCTATTCCCTAGTAACTCATACTCATGAGCTCATGCAAGTAGTATAGTGATTTGTGAAATGTGGTTGAAATTTAATTATTAATTTAAAAACATCCACAGTATCACAGATGGCAGTATTTCAAATGCTCTGCTCTGAATGGGTGCTCTAGGGATTGAAAACCTGTTCTACTTTTGTAAACTCCAAACAGAAGCTTCTCAAAGTTTTTCATACAATGGCCAGAATCCTATTACACCACCAGTTTAAGTCCAGTGGCATACATTTCAGTGGTAAATTGAAAGTATTCAAGAAGTTTGTGTAGTCATTTCATCTTGTACACCAGCTGCATGACTTGGCACATTAACAATAAATGCCTCCTCCAATTTCTTCACTAGTTGTAATTCACTTCTGAGATTTATGCCCATAGACTTAAACACTGATATAATTCTTCAACTGGATTCTGACCAATGTAATCAAATGAAACATACCCAAATGCAACTTGTTGGTTGATTGAGACTCACTACAGAGTCAGACCATGCTAAGGCATCCTGTCAACCAGCAAGTTGACAAATCAAGCCAAGGAAGGGCTGTCAAAGACTAGATCCTCCTGTTCAACAAGTACCTTACAATTTTCAGGTTAGGATCTGTTTCTGAGATGACACATGCAGTTGTGAACATGTGTAGATGTGTTAGTTATCCTTTTTAACAAGCAAAAAGATAAGCCTAACCTAAAATCTGCCGCAGCTGTTGAATATCTCCCTTCTGTACCATTAGACATGACCAGATCTTCCTTTTTGTCGGTCATGGAAAGCCCTTTGTTTTGCTCCTCCAAGGAATCACTGCAGAGACAATAACAAAATGCATGGAGAGACTGGAAGGATTAATTTTGTATGCAATTCAAACACATGAATTCTACACTTACACCCCACAAATCTGTTTATCTTTAAGCTTTACTTGTGGCACCATCAATGACTATACCCAAGGTTGTGAGTTAAGACAAAATCACATGTTGTTACAGGGCAATGAGCAGCAACAAAATAAAAACAAATTCTTAGTCAAATGAACAACAAAATAGAGGAACAAAATTGCAGAATGATCAATATGAAAGCACCTCATAGCTTTTAAATTATTTGCCTGGCACGTAAGTGATAATAAAGCAAATGCTAGTGAAACCTTCCCAGGGACAGTATTCTACGGATGGGAGGTCTAGTGAAAAGTCTGCCTGTGAGGATTCAATGGAGATCTGTGCAAGGGACAGACCAGTGGGGAAGGATGGAGAAAGACTATGTCTTCTCAAAGTATCTTTAAGGATGTATGTGAACATTCTGCACAACCTCAGCACGTTCCTGAGGGAAGAGGAAACTCTGTGTTCTCTAGGCCATATTAAATGTGAGCTCCCAGTTTCATGATTGTCTCCTTCTGTCTCCAGATGGAGCCTGTGTGCCATGTTGTGCCTCCTGTGGTCCCAAAAGAGCAGAGGTTTTATCCATGTCCTCCCAGGTTTCCTTGCACTACACACAGCAGAGGGGCAACAGAGCTTTCCTCCAGCTTCACTATAAAAAAAATCACAGCAAATGCCTCCTCCAAAGGAAAGCATGTAATTTAATTTCATCAGTCCTTTGCACATCTTTACCCACAGAGTGTACAGAATGAGTCCAAGTTACCATACCATATCTATAGACAAGTGTAGGAAAGGAAAATCCACACTCACTTTTTGTCCTGACACCATAACCTGTTGATGACAAAGGCGACCATTGCCAAAACCAAGAAGACAGTGACTGCAATGGCACCCTGCATCCATGGCTGAAGAGATCTGTTAACTGTAGAGTAAAGTAATTATATTGAAGTTATTATGAATCCTCTTTATTGCTTTATAAGTTGAAATACAATGTCCACAAAGATTGAAAATGGTAATTTCTCTTGGCAATGTTTCGGTGAAATGCCAAGCTTAGTACTGATGCTTAATAAATGTTCAGTTAGGAATAGCAGTATGTAAATCACCATACACATTTATAAACCAAGATGATTAAGAACCATGTTCCACTCACTATATAAACTTTCTTTTTATTATATCATGCTCCAAACAAGTCTACAAAACAAACAAGAAGAGTACTCATTACATAATGTAGTGATAAAGTACTAATTGAATATAAATAGCTGAGAATCAAGATCCTTCATTGATTTTTCTTGGCTGTGTTGCTGAAGTTCATAAGGAACTGATTCAGAGCTTGAAAAGATACTTTTTAAAAGTGTAAATGGAATTTCCAGTATTTACTATTACAGCTAGATTTCAATAGACAGAAAAGCTAAAGACTTGAAACTAGAGATGGGGATGAAGTGCCGTCACGTTTGATGACCCATGAACCACAAATTGCCCTCCCCAGTGGCCCAACAAACCACTAATCAATTTGTTGGTATGTCGGGTATTTCTTTTATTTTTAGACAGCCCCTGGAGTTATCTTTTTTAAAAAAGCCCCTGCCCCCACAGCCTTCCTGTGCCTCGCAGGATAGGAAGAGAGGGAAACAGATCAGAGCAATCTCCCAGCCCCGCTGCCTTTGCAAATGCAGTGGGGCTGGGGGTTGGCTTGGGTCAGGCTTTCCCTCTCGTTCTATGCCCCACGAAAGGGATCAAAGCAATCTCCCAGCCCCGCTGCCTTTGCAAAGGCAATGGAGCCAGGGGGTCGCTTTGATCCCTTTTCCTCCCTTCCTATGCCACCGCTGGGGAATAGAAAGTGGGGGAAAGCCCGACCCAAGCCTTCCCCAAGCCCCAGAGGTGGGTTTCCCTTATGCTCGGCTTTAGCAAGCTGCCAGAAGGAAAAATCCCTCTCTGTTTATGTCCCTGAGGAACAGCTGATCCACGGGGGCATAAGCAGATAGGGAACGAAGGGACAAATATAAAAGGGTTATATTGATTACTTTGTATTTTTTGGGGTCTCTGGACCTCAAGAATTTGAAGCAACGAATATCTGATGAATCAGGGATATTGGTTGAATATCCTGATTCATTTTTATATTCATCTCAATGTCTACTCGAAACTGTTAAAATTCATGGAAAATCTAACTGTATTGCATAGCTGGAACCAGAGATGTAGCCATACATATCTCTCTATCTAACTGAGGATACTTAAGTGTGTGTCAGAATCAGTGCTGAAAGAGTGAAAGTTTTTGTGCTTCAACTCAATTAGTTCATTCAGAAAATACCAGCCTTCATGACTTGTTATTGCTCCACTCCCTACTTGCTCTTGTTTTTCTCTTCTATCTGATACTGGATAACTTTCTTGTTCAGTACAGGAGTGTGTGAGTACCATTTCATTTATATCCAAATATTTGCTGTGCAAGTTAAGCCCAACCTGCCTCAAACAGATCTGCAAGTAGCTTTAACCAGTTTGTTCTCAGATTCATGCAGGTATTTTATATTTCCGGACTGGGTCAGGGAAAACTTCAAATGCAGGAAATAAAGATGCTGTACAATGCCATCAAATCTGTGAATTTAGTAGATCTTCAGTGTATAGGCAAAGGTCCTACAAGCTTTCTTCTCTCTTCTTTTCCTCTTCTAGGGATCTGTGCACTCTACTTCTGAGCCAATTCTGAATCTATGAATCCACCTTGCTTTAGCCACAGCAGACATTAAGAACAGAAGAAGGTAGAAAGCACAGATGGGAAGATTCCTAGCATTACTTTAAACTATCCACTCAAAGCCTGTACGACACAGACAGTTGTCCATCTCACATTCACATACAGAGAGAAACAAGCCTAAGTGTAATAAAGATCCACTGTAGTAACCAAAAAGAGAAAAAGAAGACATTCTAGAAGGCAGTCAAGCCCAGGACGTGGCACCCTCCATTTGCCATGCTTGAATATGAACTGGTTGCTATGTCAGGAGGCTGGAAATATATCACGTCCAGTGAGGTCTTTCTGAACCATGCCCAGGGTCTTAGCAATTAGAGTTTCAAATTGAGGGGGGAGATGGGTTTCACTTTCACCATTAGTTTGAGTGTCCAAAAAAACCTGCCAATTATCTGCAGCACTGTCCTGGTTTTCTTACACTCTATGATGACACGTGTGGTATTTTCTGCTAAGACCCCGTATTATCTGATTGTCCATGAATACTATGCAGCTTGATAGTGAAGGTGGAGGATAGATTTGCTGCTCTGCCTAAAATAACTTTGGTTGATATTGGCTGGAAGGCAGAACAGATGCAGGAAAGGAGCAAATTATTTAGTGGACACAGTTAGTGCTTCCTTAAGGGAAAACAGAGGTCGCAAGAATTTTTTTGTGACTATAATTTAGCAGGTGTGGGCATTTTGAAAATTAGAATTGAGACAGTTTCTTTGCCTTTAAGTGCTGCATAAATGGAGAATTGCAGAGATTGAGGCGTCTACCTCTTCTACCTTCATTGCATCCCTATGGCTTGGTAATGACAATGAAATACAAATATGATACATTAAAGATGCTGTTGCCCCTTATTTGGCATGGTCTTTCAGTTCCCTTAACTGTGTGAACAACATGAAATGCACAGTATGCAACTCAAGTTTACCTTCTTCACTTTGAAGTAAATACAGGGAGATCAATCTTGACTGTTCTCACAGTATGTGGGTGGGCATAGGCTTAAACTTCCCCAAACTATCCTCCCTCCTTAAATTACCACCATGAGGGCTAAAAAGGAGAAGGGACTCCATTGGTACCCATGGATTTCCCTCTTTTAATCCCCCATAGTGAGAAGTTTTGCAAAGAAAGTGAATGGGGAATATTTTAACACTCTTCAACCCATGCATGTTGGGCTTAAACTAGATCAAGGCCTTGCATGCTTAGTTAGTTACTTATATGTTGTCAAGTCAGAAGAAATCTTAAGTCTTTCAAGGTAAGTAAGATGTTTAAGGAATAGTTTTACTAGTCTCATTCCCCCAGTGAGCTTCCATGACCAAGTGTGGATTTGAGTTCTAGTCCATCACTCTATATCTACTACCACATTAAAAAGGAAAGTAAGAGTTATCCTTACTCTCTGCATTTAACAGCATATGTAGTTGAATGATAACATCTTCCACAGTCACTTCTACAAAAGCACTGGCTTTGATAGTGGGCAAGTTCAAGAGGTCTAGAAGTATGTTTCCCATGCTCTGACTATTACTAGATGGAACTACATGTGGTGATGGTTGCTAGGTCAATAACATCCCTTTTCCTGAGTTGTTGTGGGCAGGGTTGTGATGTTCGAATTAACTAGATGGCACACAATTATTATTTTTACTAAGCTATACTGAGCACCATCTATCAGTGGAAAGGCAGGGCAGAAATATAACATATATTCATAATAATTCTGATGCCAAAAACAACAGTGTTGTTGCCTGTCAGGGCAAAACCAATCCTCCTGACAAACCTTTTCTTCCTTCAAGAGTGTGGCTTGTTCCTTCATAAGCTTATGACTAAGTGCCCTGCCCCAGCTGTGTTTTCCCTGTCCTGTCTGTGAGGATGACAATGTCTATTTACTGGAACAGACAATGCCCAACTTTTGCCTCAGGCAAATAAGGCTGTGTTTACCTGATGCTAAAAATTTTCACTAATTGTTAAGACCTTGCCAAAGAGGATTAGCACAAGAGACCTGTCAAAAGCAGCCCCAATTTTCCCTCAGTCCTGACTGTTCAACTGAAACAAAGCCAAAAAAAGGCATACTTTTCCGAATCACTTCTGTATCCCACATTGTTGAATTTTTGTTTGCTTAAGTAAGCAAAATGGCTTCAAATGCTTCAAAAGCTCCCACCCACTCCTAGTTTGTAGTCAGGTTCCTGAAGCCTTCATAATCAATGGCAGAAGTCATCATAAGCAGCCAGAGTGCATTAATGAAAACCACATAAGTGGACATGTCCTACAGTCAAAGATGGTGATTTGCCAAACAGTAAGTACTACTATGTTTGAAGAATTTAAAGACACCAAAACTTAAAGTAAATGCATGGATAATACATAAACGTCCTATAAAGAGACTGATACAACCCCTGAAAGCTTGTATGGACAAAGGTATAACAAAAGGCACAACATATTAGCGCTTCCATAGGGATAAGCAATATCAAATGACAGGTAAAGTAGCTGGTAGTGTTCAAAGGAAACAGAAGGGGTGAAACACTGATTTCCCCACTTCCCTTCTCTGTATTTTCTTCTCCTTTTTTCTTCCTTTGATCAATTTAGTCAAATTTTATCCCAACTTCCTTCAAGGAATTTACTGCATTGTATATGGCTTCCCACACAATATACACATATAGAAACATATTTAAAAAACAACCCTGAGAAGTAAAGAATATAAGAATAAACCATGATAGATGACATCAAAAGCCTACCTAGGCCAGCATTCTGTTCAAAAAATTTTTTGATTAATCACATTTTTCAATTTATTAAAAAAACCATTGTAGCAACCTAGAGTATACTACCACTGCACTGATTTTATTTTTAAATTAAAGAGGCAAGTTAGGAAGAGAAGCCCTTGGGCTGCTGGCAGGTCTGAAAAATGGCCCTCTGAGGTCCCCCATCCCTGATATAGACCATTTTCAGAATTTTGGTTGAATGTATAGAAGTTAACAGCAAGGGCAAGAAGTGTAGGCACAATTTCCCAGTAGCACACCATCACCGAATATGAGATGATGATACCTAGGATCCTTCTTACCTTCCTCCCCATCCAACTTTCTCCCACATCTTGAAAGATCTGTGGAGTTGCAGATACAAAGCAAAAGCTCAACATTCTACATAATGGACAACATGATCGTAGTTGTTCTACCTTGGTTAATGCTGGACTAAACAAAAGCCAGTCCAAAGCTCTCTCCTACCATCTTGCAATT